CGGGGGGGGGTGCCTCTTCCCCGCCCGCCTTTCCTTTTTCGTGGAAGCCGCCGCTTTCGCTCCGACTTGTGGAGGCGGCTGTCTAGCTTCAGGCGACGGCAGCTGACGAGGTTGCTACCTCCTCGCAACATGGACAGCCCGCTGAGCGCGGCGACTGCTGCCGGTCCTGCGCGCTGCCTCCAGGAGCTGCTCGGCTGAGGTGCATCCACTCGGGAGAGTGCCGGGCGGCGGCGCCTGCAGCCGAAGAGCCGCGCACACAAAGGCGCGCCCGGACCAGCTCCTCCTCAGCGTTCTAACTTGGGTAAGTTTTCCTCCCCCCGCCCCCCCTCGGTTTTCGGTCCCCTCCTTTTCACAATGGGTGGCTCCACCTGTTGAAAGCCTTTAAACCCCTCCCGGGATTGCTGATTTGCTGATCCGCCGAGCAAACAAACAACCAAGCCTCTCGGAAGCTCTCGCTCGCCGCTTTTCCATTCCGAGGGCGACTTCAATCGATCGCCAGCACTCGTCTGTTCGCTGGAAGGAAGTTCGGAGCTTCAGAGCCGCTGGGAGGCAGGCGGGAAGGGTAAAGAGGACTTGATCACCCCGGTGGGTTTCAGTGTAGCGATTGCCGCTCCTTTTTCTGATTTTCTTGGAAGAGTAAGCGATCGTCCTTCCATGTTTGAACAGCAGATGGTTTCCATTAAGGGCAAAGTCCTGGCTCTCACCGCCGAACTATGTGGCTGGCTGGGCTATGATCGAGCTCCTTAGAGCATCAGGTTTAGTTCTGTGTGAAACTTCCTAAAGGGCTGTGGTGTGAACGGTGATTTTTCCCCCTTCCCATCGCGCCTGTAACCATTAAATAAATACATATGTAGGGAAGGAAGGAATGAGGGGTGGGGATGGTAAAGAAGTTTTTCGGATCCTTCTCAGAACTGTGGAAGAAAGATTGTTTTTCCTAGACTTTGAGTCTGTGATTTCTTTCGGAATACCGAGCTGGATTTTATCATGCTTTGCGGTCCTCGAGAGTTACAGAATTACCCAACCCTTTCACTCAGCTCCCATTCATTCCTGCTGGTGGGAGTCGTTGGTTTGAGTACCGTTCAGCCCCTTGGACTTGAGATCTCTGCCCCTGGTTTGACACAGTCTGAGGATTTTGAAGGCAGGTTGGGGTTTGTGTTGGGGGGGGGGGAAGACAAAGGCTTAAAACTAGCTCATAAAACACCTCTCTGAAGTGCCTTATTTTGCTGAAGGGAAATGCTCTGTGCTCGGTTTCTGACTCACTCGGTTTATTTGCTTTGGAACAGAACAGGGCAGTTTTGTCTTTGGGGGGTTTGCTCTGCAGTTATCTAAGTGACTCTTCCAGGCATGAGATTGTGACACCTGCAGTTTCTATGGGAAGGTATTTCATTGGCTTGTCAGTTAATTAGAGCCTAAAGGTAAGATAACCCTCCTCCAGCTGGGGTGCATGTACTACAAAATCAAAATTCTCACCTCTGTGCTTGCTTGAATATTTTATGCACATTCCAAAGATGGCACATTAATAACCCAATTGTGAATTTTAAAGCTGGCAGTGTAAACGCGCTATCTTTTATATTCCGCTTATCCTGTTTGAAATTCAGCTGTCTAGGTGGCCTAGAAATTTAGATTGTTCCTCAGTTCCTTTGCCAATAAAGGAAAGGAGGTTACTCTCTTCTAACTTACGCTCACCTGATGTATTTGGCTAGATTCAACTTTATACAGTATCTCGTATCCAACATATGAACTCAGCACATTTTGGTGAAACAAAATTGCTGTCTTCTTTTCACAATCTTGTTGCAGCTATAGAGATATTACAACAAAGCAAGGTGCCTCTAGAGCAGCAACCTTGTCATATGTGTAGGTACTTGTATTTTAACAGTTTACACCCAGCTCTGGACAGGCTTACTCAGAAGCATACCTTGTTGAACTTTACATGTTGAACTCCCAAGAAGCTATGGCATGCATAGGATGAACTAGTTTTGTGTTCCCCGCCCTTTGTGTTTAGATATTTTCATATTTCATTTTTAAAGGACCTTCTTCTTCCTGGTGAATTTTGGATTTATTCCTAATGTAGAATTTGCATAGTAGTATCCTTCTAGATGGTGGTTGCCAAAAAGTGATCAGTGGGTTAGAATCTAATTGCTTTTCACATGCTGGGCTTCTAGATCATGACATAGCAAGGTTAAAAATACAATTTAGCGCATAATTGAAAATAGCAGTAGCACAACAACTCCACCATAAAAAAGGAGGAAAAGCTCTGATTTTGAAGAGGGAAAGATGAGACAAGTGACTGGGAAACTGAGAGTGATGAGGTAACATAACTCCTTTGAGGTACAAGCTTTTGTGATGAGGGTAAAACCTAGGGATGGGAATGCTGAAACAATAATTGGTTATAGGTTATGTCTAGACTTAGTCAGATTTTGAATAGACATATTGAAATCAATGTCCAGGGCCTTTTTACGAGTCTGAAAGACCTGGGGCTCTATGCCCATTTCAGTAACCCCCCTCCCCACTTGCTTTCCTACATCCAGTATTGTGTGTGCAAGTGTTTTTATTTTATTTTAATATTTTGTCCATTGCAGACATTAGCCCAGTGACTGGGAGTGTGTGGAAAAAACTTCAGTAGCTTGATATATTGCAATACAGTGTTGATCCCTTGATTAAAACATGTTGATCCATCTCCAATCTCAAATGCTAAATTATACTTTGTTTAGGGCCCTCTCTATGTTTGAGACTAAAGAATTTGCTGCCATCCCCCCACTCCCCCCATCCCCTTTTAAGGCTCCGAACTGACCCTATGGATGAGCATCATTTAATTTTATGCACAGTTCTGGAGAGTTCTTTGCACTGTTTCCCACTGTAGAATTCCAGGGCAGATATGTAGAAACTATAGGGTACACTTATAGTTGATAAATCTTGCTATTTGAACATCAGTTTACACTTTTATTATTCCACAGCTTAGCATGTAGGCTTAATGATAAGCAAAATAGATATTTTGCTTAAAGACCTTGCCTGCTATTCCCTCCATCTATTAAATCATTCTTTTCTGGTGGAATCATAGAGACAGCTAGCTTCATACCCAGTGCCATACTGTATTTTTCTTGTTTCTGGGTTAACACATTGCCATTGTGGTTTTTAAGCCTTGTTTTATTAATGTGTTATGTGAATCTGCCAATAGCGATGAATTCAGAAATGTATAATTATGCAAACCTTGCTTTAGTATTGTATAGATACAAGGATATAGGTTAGGAACATGGGAATAATAATTCCTTGCAAGGTATAAGAAAATTGTTGACCTTGCTTTGATGTTCCTTTGCTGACACATAGGAATTCTGTAAAATTAGAAAGTAGATGACTTTATGAAGGGTTTCCTTGATCACTTTCACAATTTCAAGATTACAACAAAACCTGGTTGGGTTTGATTCTGTTGCTCATCTCTTCAGCTTTGCTTCACTTCCTACAGTCTGTGTTCAGGGCTCATTCAGAATTGCTACCTAAAGATTGAGTTCCCTTGCTAATTAAGTTGGGTCCCAATCCACTAGGATTTCATTTAAGTTGCATTTAAATTAATGGAGACTGCAGAGAAGGATTACTGTTATGTTGCCCAACTATTACTCATTTCCACAGGTTGGATATCTATTATTTATTTCTGTTTTTTTTACATTTTGTATCTTGCTATTCCCCAAAACAAAACAAAGAATATAAAAACATTCCACAGTAATATAAAGCAAAACAAAGAATAAATTGAAAACAATACATATACACAGCAAATGTGGCAGTACTCGGAAATTGGAATAATTTGATGAGAGCATAATCCATCAACCAAAACAATACTATGAGATCCAACATTGCTGGAATGAATCTCAACTAAAACTAAAAGAGGTAGGCTACTGCTATCTTAGATGCAGAAATCCAGCTGACCGTTAGATGGTAATGAAAAGTTAAGGTTGTTAGTATCTCTTTGCTGCCATCTAACAGCAATTTATTAGGTAGCAGCCTTGTAGTCCTGTTGGCAGACCATGGAGGGAAGCTTGCTAGGCCCCTATTCAGAAGAATATTCCTTAAAACAGACATCATATTTTATGATATTTTCACAACTGAAAAACATCTTGCTCTGTTGAACATCAGCCAGCAAGGATACATTGAGTAGAGGATATGCAGGAAAAGGTGATCCTTAACATATTGGTTTCTCAAATCATTTATAGCTTTAAAGGGAGCTGAATTGAAATAAAATAAATATGTATTAGTACAGATCAAGCAGAATAGGAAAGAAAGGGTCCAGTTGGCCTATACCAGACTACAATCAGGCAACAGCATTTTGCACATGAATTATATTTGTGGATTTTGTTAAAGGTAGGCCAGCTCCACTTAGAATATTTTGTCATAGTTGTAGCTCTTTATCGCTTCTTTGGTCTGCTATCTATATTAGGACCTTCGTTTTCTCCTTAAGAGAGACTTTGTTGATGTTGAGGATGGCATGGCTCATATGTGCAAAATCTTGGTTTGTATATTCTTTTTCGTATGTGTCTACTTGATTATAGTGCTAGAACGGATTTGTTCTCATTATAAACTTTGCTAGCCCTTGCCTCAAGGTTCTATTTTTAGTCTTTAGGGCTGCAGTCATTTTAACACTTTCCACAGAATAATCCCCATTAAATTTAACAGGGCTTTCTTCTTGGTAGACTTGTACTGTATCTCTGATCATTCTTATGCCTCATTTTGCAGCAGTAGAATGGAATATCCAAGAACAATACAGACTATTCCTTCCATATACACAGACCGCTTTTTTTTTAATTGAATGTATGCCAAACTAATAGATTTATCCATGTCTTCACTCTTCACACACAGTTTCAGCAAGGTTATATCAGATCTATACCAATTGCTAGCAGTTTGGACAACAAGGCAGATATGGACTGGCTGGCTTCAAGCTAATACATTTATTTAGGATTTTTTTTTAACTAGAAGCCTGAGGTAGATACAAAATATGGTGGAAGGGAGGACTTTTGCTGCTGCCATTAATTGAAATTCAAAAACATTTTCTGTTCTATTAGTGGTTATTTAGAGTTCTAGTAGTAAACACAAGCTATTAACCTTTGCATTACAGATACTTGTTAAAAATTAATGCAAGGATTTGATTAGCATGCATAAAAATGCAAATCTAACATGTCTGGTTATTTAATAATCTGGGCAATATTTTTACTCCCCCCCCCCTTGCAGCTAATGTATTTTGATTTTGCCAACTTCTGTAACCTAAACTGTGACATAATGCAACAACAATATAGTCTTCTTTCTTATTTTAAAAATTCACCCACAAAATGTTTTTTTTTATCTTTCCAGTTTTCATTTTCTTTTTGCATACATTTCTTTTTTAACCCTTTGCATGTACATACATGTGTGCATATTCACACCCATGTATCCGCATATACAAGAATGTAAGAGGAGCAGAAGTGATTCAGTCATAGAGACAGGTAATAACTGATAGAGAAACACTGTTCTTTCTCATTGGAACTCACTGAGATGTTGTCACAGATCCCTAGGAAAAGCTTTGGTTAGATATTTAAGGTAAGATGGTAAACATAACTCTACAG